TATAATTTTATTTAATTGTTATGAAACTCATTAAAATTTATGCCGGAAAATAAAAAACCACTTGGACACAAAATCCTGCCATACCTAAGCAACAAAAATTGCAATTATTTATATGCATGTATAATAGGGTAGTCAAAAAAAACACGGGAAAATCTACTTTTTGGAATTTTCTTGCTGTCAGCCTCGACAATTGTAGAAAATTGAAAATAAAGCGGCCCATATTTTATAGCATTTATGAACATGAAATGGTATTAAAACTTTGGTCCCTTGTTTTAAGTACCTGAATAAGAAGAGATAGACCCATGAAAATGTATACGTATATGTTGAGAACGTCAAGCTGAGCCGATTTAGCCATATCCGTCTGTCCGTCTTAGAAGTCTTAGTCTTAGAAAAAAAGCTCTCTCATTCACCACTCGTGGTGAAAAACCATAAACCATTCTTAGAGAACGCACTTGAATATCATTCAGCTCGCGTTACTCCAACAGTCGCAATGGCCGAGTGCGCAAGGCACAGGCGTACCAATCGGGAGATCCGAGTTCGAGTCCTAGCGCAGCGCAATTTTAATTTTTTTTTATCTCCATATTTGTTTTTTTCTTTTTTAATTGAATTTTACCGATTTTTTATAAAAAAAAGATTATTTTTAGAAACTTATTTTAAGATTTTTTTCTTTTTTGTTTTAATTTCTGTTTTTGTTAAATTTTCTTTGTGGTTCAGTTGTTATTGCCTTTAAAAGAGTATTTTTTTTAATTTAATTTAACTTTTTAGCAACTTATTTTCTTTAAAAAATTTTTTTTTTTGTTTTTTTGTTACATTTTCTTTTAAGTTTTTTGATTTTATTTTGTAAGAAAGAAAAGTATATATTTTTTAAATTTCATTTACTTTTTTAAAATTTATTTAATTTTATTAAAATTTAATTTTATACTCTTTTGTTTATTTAATTTTTTGCAATGTTTAGATTTTATTGTTTTAAAAAGAAAAATATATTTATTTATTTTATTTAGTTTTTGGAAGCTTATCCTAGTTATTCTGAATTATTTAGATATTTTAATAAAAACTTCTTTAACCTAATTTAATTTTTAAGTACTAATTTCCTTCTTTTTAGAATAATTTTTTTTTTATTTAATTTAATTTTTTTTATTAATTTTTGTTATTTTCAAAAAGAAAAATATAAATATATATTTTTAATTTAATTTAACTTTAAAAAAACTTATTAACTTATTGCTAAAAGGCGAACAGCATAACGCTAAGACCTCCTCGTTAGCAGATCTTTCAATTAATTTTCGAAAGACAGTAAAGAGCTTTCAAGACAGCTGTCAGAATTCACAATTGTCTTACGAAAAGCTTTTGTCTTTGAAGTAAAATTTTCGGATATGCATGAAAGGTATAAAGCCTTCGGCGTTGCCAAAAACAGCACTACTCTTACTTATTTTAATTTAAATCAGTAAAAATAAATATTTTTTGATCGAATATAAATATTTTTATCCAGAAATCCTCCACTAATAAAATGATGAGGCAAACCTAAATCCAAAACGTTACTATTTTTTTAAAACGTGCGTGAAGTGGCTACGAACACATAAAATAAGAGATGATCAGTTATGAAAAAATAGTTAACAAAACTATAATTTTTATTTTATTGTGTGAAAATTTCGTAATAGAGATATTTCTATTCAATAAAAAACTATAGTTTTTAACGATGTTTTAGCATTTCTATAAAAAATAAATATTTTCCCCATATAAAATATGTATGTAAGTATATGGAAATTTTCAAATTTTACGCTAAAAAATTAACCGATTTAAAAAAATTCGGTGGATAAATAAACAATCATTTTTTGAAAAATGATACTCATACGCCATGTGCGACTATGTATCAGTACGGTCATGTACGATATGGCGCATGAGTAACAATTTCGATGGTAAAGTTTGATTTTTTTCATTTGCATTCGTACTTCAAATTTAAAACATCTTATAAAAATTACCTGATCTAGAAAAACGCTGTACAGATTTTTTTTGTGGATTTTAGCGTCCCTTAAGTGTATTTCATCCCATCAGAATATTTATAGCACTGTTCCTAAACTTGTGGCCGAACCAAGATTTGACTTATGCCTTGCTGTAAGCGGTATAAAAACTAAAAAAGCTGCTGTTTGCGAATTTAAGCTGAAATTCCTATTTAAACACCTAAATATCTGTACTCAAAACGCGCAATAAATTTCGTTCACAATAGTATCGAGGTCAGCTGTGTACGCAGTTGCATCGTAACAACGCTCTTGCAGTCTGCTTAGGAGGCTGTCTACCACCAGAGGAAAATGAAAGGCAGAAATAATATTTTCCTGTGGGTAGCCTCCTATGGCTCTAATGTTAGCATAAGTTACACTTGATGTATCTATTAGGGGGTAAATACGGCCGAGAATATATATCGCCACTTGCTTAAAGAAATTCGTGTTAATTATTCGCTTGACTTCGCTTAAATAGGTACATCTAACACTCTTATATTTATAAGTAGCCTCAAATCGAATTTATTCGCTCGCTTACATCGGACTCCATTTCCTGATGACCAAAGGAAATTAACAAACTCGGCACAATAGTATCTTGTTATTAAGAAGTTGGCACTGTTTGCCCTCTTGAACATCGAGGGTTTTTTCTATACTGTTGCCCCTGTTTCCATCTACGAAGAGGCACAGTAACTTTTGATGGTGTTTGGATCGATGATTACACCTAGAATTTAAAATAATTATGTATAAACAAGTATGTTTGTATATATAAGTTAAATTTATATAAAAAAAATAATACTTTTCACTACCCAAATGAAAATTAGTTACTAAATTTTTTGAGGCAAAAAAATGTCGTTCATTTATGTAAACATATATGCATATGTACACATAGTATAATCAAATATTTCCGAAGAAATTTAATTAAATGCCATTTTAATAATAGGGTTGAATATTTCTTAATTACAATGATATAAATGCAAATTGAGTATTTTTTTATAAAAGTGCTTGCCTTTCTCTATACCCATATGTACACACATATGTATGTATTTACAACTTTCAGGAAATCAATTTGATATGCCTGACGAAATCACCTCGAAGTGACAGATAGTAGTTTTTGTAAAAATCTACCTTGGAAACATAAGGCAAAGTAAAGCAAGATTTAATAATAAACTAATGCAAATTGAATTGTATCAAAGTGAATTGAAGTGAATTGCAAACCAACTTGAAAGCAATGCATATGGTCAACCCTTTGCTTGCAGCAGAATTAAATTGAATTTCTTTGCATTTCCAACAGCAGCGCATAGTGATACTGAAATTTTGTCAAATTTTACTTCATTTTATTTTGATATATTTTTTCTTCTTCTTCTTCTTCTTCTTCTTGCTTACTTGCAGTCATACCAACACTTCAACTGGACTTGGGTTCAAATTTGAATCCGGAAGATATTGAGGAAGGTGATGATGTCTATTTTGAGTGCAAAGTGCATGCAAATCCGGCAGCATATAAAGTTGTGTGGAAACATAACGTAAGTATTTTATGTGAAGTAAGAATACATATGTATGTGTATTTGTAAGTGTATTAATATACATTGTTGATATACCTACTATATATGTATGTACATACATACTGTACTTATGCGGATGAAAAAAATTCAAATACATCAATACGTACCAACAAACAAAAGAACTGATTGAGGATCGGATTTTTCTATGTCATCGTATACTTGACCGACTAATGTAATATAGCTTTTGATTTATCCTTAAGCCAACGTATGAAAAAGGTGCTTGGAGAGAGCCAAGAGTCCAACAAGCTAATACTTAGAAGATAAGCATCATGCATACAAAGACATTTTCGAATTTTAAAATAAGCTAGAGACTTCAATAGGGAATTTATTAGTTGCCATTTTGTTTTTGTAGTGGATATTTAGCTAGTCCTTAAATCATTGGCGTCGAGTTAAACTGATCGTAGGATCAAGAATCTTGCCGATAGAAGTTAAATTTGAAGAGATATGAAACGTAAGTAGGCCACTGTGACTGCATGGTTAGAGGTACGTACTACCACCTCCTAGAGCTTGGTTCTAGCAACATCTAAACTATAAAAAGCTTTTTCTAACAGCTCTGGCCCCTCGATAGGCAATGTGTTAAAAGAGCTTCTCATAAAAATAAATTTGCGGTTCTGAGGTTCCTCTAATTGTGTTATAATGTCAGGATAAATGGAACAAATTGGAGGAGAATCTCGGTCAAACACTTGCGGGCTCTTTCTCCATTTGTAACGCAGAATACCAGTAAGGATACAATTAGAGACGCCATAAGGGGCGATAGTGGGTGCGCCATTGGGTATAGATACTATTTGGGCTGCTATAATATACGCCATTAGGTCGGAGCATTATTATTGATGTACAGCACTGATGGGTACCGCCTTGCCCGCCGAAAAAGCTCTTTTAAGCTTTCTATAGATTTTGTATGATCGGTTCAGAGCAAAAGCTCTCTCCTGCGCAGCGTTCGTTGTAGACAGCGTACTTGAGCAATCATAATGGCACGCATCAATCAAACTCTTACCTATAACTTTCTCAAATGAAAATATATATGTATACGAGGGAAATGTTTGAGAATTAGGGTGCATCACCAAAACAAATTTGCGGTTTATATTTTCAGATTTCCGCAAACATATTTCGGAAAAATTTTAAGATTAACATTCCGTTGATAAAATTTTATGTAGAGCTTTTCAACTTAACTTAACTTCTACCGTTTGGGCTATTTTTATTTTTATTTTTTAAAGACTAATTTTTTACCGACTTCAAAAAAGGAGGAGGTTATCAATTTGCTGTTTTTTTTGTTTTTTTTTTTTTATGTTTGCTACCACATAACCTTTGAACACGTTAACCGATATCTATAATTCTTTTTTTTTTTTAAGTAAAGCTGGTACTTCCGACGAGGTATATGCGAATTGAAGTCGGTTTTGTTTTCTCCTAAAAATTACTTGTATTTATGAAACTTTGATTTTTGAAGGTACATAAATTTTTATATTTTTTTGAATAAATATTTTCCGGTGGAAAGACCATGTTTTTGCTTGGAGATTGATGTATCCTAATGTGCAAGCACGCAGATATATTTTTAAATAAATTTTCATGCAGGTATTTCTATAAAAAACTTATATATATTGTGTGTTGTTTTATGAAAATGTATTTTTTTTTTTAGAATTGCAAAAAAATCTTTAGGAATATGTAAATACTTTTGGGTCGAATAAATATATTTTCCTTTAGATAACTTTCAACAATACAATTTTAGTACCTACTTGACACTAAAATTTGTCTTAATATAACTAATTTTTGTACATATAGACATAATAGGTGAAATTTGCGGTTATGAAAAAGTAGTTTTCGATTTTTAAATAAAAAAAAACGGGTCTCATTATTTTTGACGCACTTCAGTTATTGGGGTGGCCGAAAAATATTTGAACCACCCTAATGTGCATAAGACATACATATTGATATATTAATTCTTAAAAAAATTTTACACTTAATTTTCAAATATGCAAAGTTAAAGTTATTTTTATGTTTGCAATATTTATATTGCATTCTCTTTGCATTTGCTACCTTAAAATAGCATATTGAAAAATTGTATGAGGCGAAAGAAAATTTCTTAGGTTAAAAAACAAATATTTATTTGCCTGACACAAACTTACTCTTCCATATACATATGTACATAAATACTTCTTCTACATAAACTATAAATATTTGTTTGCGATTGCGCTCTTTGGCAGCATTTGCTCATGCATGGGAATCATACGACGAGTTTCTTTGTGCGTAGCTCCACTCAGGTGTGCATTTCAATTATATTTTGTTAAATATTTGTTATTTTGCAGCAATTTGTTTTTCAACTTCAAATTTCATTGAATGCTATTTATGTGCCAACATACATACATATTTACGCATAGATTACACATACATACTATATGATACAGTTTCGAACATGAACAGATTATTGATTTACTTATATAAGTTTGTATGTACATATACAATTCACTTCCATAGCAAAAGTTTCTGTGTGCAATCTAAAAATGTAGCAGTTTGAATTTAGTGTGAAAAGTTGGTCAAAATTTTGTTTTTAACACAAAAAGCTCAATATGAAACAATAAAGTGAAATTCCGAATTCATACTTTTAATCTCTTTTTATTAGCCAGGTTTATTTAAATTTTTTTTTTTATCCAAGAATGGAATAAAACCACTGAATCAGATATACAGCAACAGCAAACTAGTGTATGTATATGGATAGTAGTTTTCTCATTGCTGAATTTAATTAGGTTTATTAAAAAAAAAAAAAAACGAAAAGATTATCTTTATGGAATTCAATTCATTTCGTCGAATCGAAAGATAGTGAGTGATTCTAAGAACATCCTTTCATATTTTTAGTTATTGCTTACCTTTTTATTCTGCTTTTATAGTTGCATTTGAGTGAGAATTCCTGAAGTGGCCCACTAAATTTCAGCAAAATTTTTCGCCGAAATTCAGTTTTGTAGAAATTTTTTATTAAATAAATATTCAGATATTAAGAGTTTCCTATAACAGGAATTGCAAAAAAAAACTTTTCTCATGAATTTTATGAAACTTTTTGAATAAACATCGGCCTTATTTTTTTTTAACTGACATGCAAGTAAAATGAGTACATTACATATGTAAAAATTGTTAACTTTTTTTTAGAATTTTTTTGAGTATGCAGTCCTGTAGCCCATTAAGCTTTAGTATAACAAAGTGCAAGATGTAAGCCACTGAAAAATTGTGTTGATTTTTAATATTTTTTGTTATTATAGAGTGAACCCCATAACACGATCCTTAAATATTGTGCAATACTCAGAGCCACCACTGCGATTTTTTTTTGTAATTTTTTTGAGATGGCATATTTGCAAAAGCGATTTTTTTATCAAAAAAATGTGTATGTGCAAAATTTTTCAAGAAAAAAAATTTTAATATTTCCTTTCATAAAGAATTTTGATGTGTGTATGTGTGATTTTTTTAAATTTTTTTCTTTGCTCTGTTCTCTAGAAATTTGGAAAACTATTAACTCGATTTGTTTTGGTTTTTGTTCTGTAAAGTTTTTAAAATATATTAATAGAGGTCAAATTTCATATTTACTTATTACTTATGTTTATGCATCAACCCTAAAAATTTGAAACAAATCAAATACATGAAGTGTGAACCCCGTCCGTTTTGGTATGGAGCACCCCATATGGATGTCCCAAAAACGCCGTTTAACGTGAATACCGAGATTACTGTTGGGTATCTGAGAACCTCTGGCTTAGTGTATAAACCATCAAAATGGTTTTTTTTCCTTTAAGTTTTAATAGCCGTGGATATTGTAGGTATCCTTTCGAAAACGTTTAAAGTCTTTATTTCACGCACAGATGAAAATTCATGAAAAAACTACATACGTATGTATATATGTGCATATGTGCTAAAAGCATCTGCCTTTCGGTAAGTAAAAATGGAGAAACTCTGTCTGTTTCAAAACCCTTTTTCCATTTCCAAACTACGAAGAGCTCAAATATTTGCTTCCTCCAGATAATGCGGTACAATGTATGTAAAACAGATAAAAGCACTAAGCTCCGCAGAAAAGTCAATGCAAAAAAGCAATCAGAAGAAAAAAAATATCCTTGTAAAAAATTGTGCAAATCCGCCGCAAAATATGCCACAAAAAGTTGTTTTGACTTCTGATGCGCAAAAAAGCCAGAAACAGTCGAAATGTGAAACAAAAGAGATTAGATAAGCGTAACCTCTTGTGCAAGAAGTAAAAAAAAAACAATGGGTTTTGTTAATTGTATGCGATTGCGTTTTTTCCCCTACTCCTTCTTAGTAGTTACGGTTGATATGTATCTGTGTAAGTACTTCACATTGTTGCTTTGCTTTCAACTTCGTATTGTGTCCACTTTACAATGCCACCGCTGTCACTTAACATAATGCGTTAGCTGGCTGTCTTGGCTGGCTGGTTGGTTGGTTGGTTCGTTTGGTTTGGTTTGGTTGAGAAGTGTGTAAGTAAGCAAGTAAATACGAGTGCTGACTGTGTAAATGAGCGCGCACAAAAGTATGCCATGCAATTAGAGTAGGTACATGACAATTTCATTAGTGCGGTCAGGGTCGGTGCGGTTGCTAACTCTTTTTGAGTCGACCCTCTCCACTTTTTCGAGCATGGCACAGTCACAAAATCTCGCTTTTTATTGTTACTTTGTTTATTGTTTTTTTTTTTGTATTTACGGCAAACACTTGTATTGGTTATGCGGTTTTTAAATTCATTTTATCTGTTTTTGTTATAAATTTGAAATTGGTGTCATGGAGAATGTTATGACTGTGCTCCGTAATTTGACACACTTTTTAAAAGACACTGAGAAAACTAAGTAGATAATTTACTTAAATACTTATTTTTATAGGCTACTTTTTGCTTAAAAAAAATTTAAAAGTATCGATAACCGCAGCATAAAGGAACCATAATAATTTCCATAGGCTAGCTGAAAGTGCCTTTCTCTTTTTTCTTT